AAAGTTTTGGTCATGACCCACTGCATTAATGTGACAGTCCAGAGTTTTAAAAAGATCCCTGAGTTAGATCTTGAAATCTCCAGGTTCTCCAGGATTCTTACACACACCCCTTAGCTCACTGCCATCACCAGCCCATCCTGCATCTCTGATCACATTAGCTTGTGGTTGACACTCCTCCTTCAAATCAGAATCCTGTTCCAGCAGTGCTCTTCCTCTCACAGTGTCTGCAGAGAATCGCACCCATTTCCCTGCCTTCAGCCAGCCTGGACACGTCTAGAAATTCATAGTGACTTTTGGGTGGAGACTATCCCTGCTAGGACATGTTTGTAACATATAATTTCATAAGCATTTATTGGGGACCAGCACAGTACAGACACCGCTTCAGCACTATCGGCAGGAGGTCATTCGGCAAACATCAATCCTTCCTCACCGCATCTGCCTAGTTACTCAGCTTTGCTTGCCTAGAATTCTAGGATTCTGTATTTCCTTGACATGTGGTTGCAAAGCCCCATCACTTAATAATAAACCTATAGGCAGAAGACTGTGTGCAGCGAAGTGCCCAGAGTAGCGTGAGCACGTTCCTGGGCAGAACAGGAAGGGGCTCAGACACCGGGGAACCCCGCAAGCACACTGGGTGCCTCCAGGAAAATGACGCTGTTGCGTAGGACAGGTGTGAATCAGAACCCGGTTGCACAGGCCCATGGGAGGACTGAATAAAAGCCACTTTGGGGGAAGTTAGCAATGGCATTCCTGAGGCACCCATGTTGGTTTTGTTGGCATTTCATGCAAAATTAAGAATATTAGACTGATTCCTCCTCAAGGAGGGAGGACTTATAAGTAAGCAACTCCAGCTCTCCTGGTACAGAGAAACGTGGGAGTTTCCCAGCAGGAAGAGTCAGACAAGGGGGGTTCCCAGTGCAGAAACCTGGGTGAGAAACGAGGAGGGCTCAGGGATTGGTCTTCTGTCCTCAATCTCGTCTTTTGAGCAAGAATTTGGATAAGGCCACAGATGGTATGTGCATCCAATAACACTGGGAGATGTAGCTGATATATTGGACAAAATAATTTCTATCCAAAACATGCTGGAATACTGGGAGATAATATAATAAGAGATACCCAACAGATATAAAGTAGCCTGACACTCAGCTTCCTAAGTCCCTGGTCCAACCCAGGACAGTCCATGAACACAGGTGTTAGGAGCAACAGCGCACACCCTGCCTAGACTTAATGCACCCCTCACCTACCCCTGGGAGCACGGACAGAGTAGCCCTGGATTGAGAAGCTGAGTTCGCATTAGTTAGATCACACCCATAGGGTCCCAGACCATTCTGGATGCCCTATTTCATACAGATCACTCCTTACTGGAGTCAGAGGAAGACAACGGGGATATGGGAGGGTCTGAAAGAACATTAATACAAGGAGCAGGTGGAGAAACTGAGAACCTTCAACCTGAACAGAGAAAACGAAAAGGCACCTGTCTCCACACATAGAAAGCCTTCCCGGCCAAAGGTGGTGCACTTTGAGGATTAAAATGAATACACGACAGCAATGGGTGATAAGCCATTACATAATAAAATAACCCAGGAGCTGATGGTAAGCACAGGTGTCGGAGCCTTGGATTCTAAGGGCTGGCAAAGAAAGGCTCTTCTGTGCAGAGACAGGCAAATGGAGGCTACAACTCTTTAGGTCTAACCTGGAAAAGAACCTGCTGACAATTACTTAATGGAGGAAGTACCCAGAAGGTAGGACTCTACTCTAGAACTTTCAAAGACCCGTACAGTCTGCTAAGTAATAGGACACTCTTATTCAGAGTATCTAAACTTCTGTTTCCCTGCCATACGGGTGGGAAGTTAAGCTTCACTGAATGTTTAATCAATGCCAAGTAAACGTATTTTCCTTAACCTTCCCAGTGCCTCCGTGAGATGGGCATCTGTTGTACAGGCCAGGGAAATAAGGAGCAATAACTCATGCAGCATGACAGACATGAAGGGTCAGAGCTGGGATCTGAACCAGGTGTGTCCAAACCCCTTCCTCCCCACAGCACACGCGGGGTGATTAGAAAGGAGCCACACAACTAGGTCTAGGGCCCTTTAAGGGTTAGCTTTCCCCATCTGCCCAGCCCAGTAGTGCCCCGACTCTAATTCTGCTCGATTGGAAGAGAAAGATGGGGCCTTTCCTAGAAACCCAAGGCTAAAATGAGCTGATGCCTACGAGGTGTCTGCCCCACCGCCTCCCCACAGCCAAGCTCTATTGGAATATGGCTCCTTTCACCTGAATCAACCCCCTCTGTTCTCTTTCTCTTCTTCAGGGTCTGTTTACCTGACCACTGGGAAACCAATGGAGACCAATCTCCTGGGCTTCTGGTCATACAGATCGGGGAAGATTGAAAGATACCAACTAGTGGTTTCTCTGATGAAGCGGGGTGCAGGTCAGGGGCATGTGCTGTCTGGTTATCACTCTTCTGTGTTAGAAAGATACGAACATTCTAAGTGACAGTGCATAGTCCAGACAGGCCCTCTCTTTTATTCTGAAATGACTTTCTAAGTGGCTTTCCAGGTTTTGTATGGAACACAGGCCCTCTCATCATCCGACCTGCTGCCCAGGTTCCCCAAGGCTTGAGGTAGCTCTGGGGTTCGTGTTCTTTACAGGCCAGGCTCTCCAGCTGACGAAAGCTTTCTGCATGTCGGTAAGAAAACAGCTAGGCTTCTTTGACATTTAAAAACACAATGTTTACATGTTTGGCTGCTTTTAGACCACCTGTTTAAGCTACCTTTTTTGTTGTTGTTGTTAATTGTTACCCAAGCGTATATTCCCACTTATTTTTAGAGAGAGTAGAAGAGAGAAGGAGAGAAACAGGGAGAAAGAAACATCAGTGTGAGAGAGACACATTGATTGGTTGCCTCCCGCACATGTCCCAATGAGCCTATAACTGAGGTACCAGAATCAAACTGGGACCCCCCTACAATCTGTGGGCTGATGCTCCATCCCCTGAGCCAAGCCAGCCAAGGTGTAAGCTGCCTCTTTATGCTGGAGTTCCCTGGGATCAGCGACTGCCCTCTCTGTGCACTCACTCCGTTGTTCCCCATTCACCTGGGTGTGCTGTGTGCCAGGGGTACAGCAGGGAAGCAGACAGACGTAACTGACGCCCTCGCCAGGGCTCCACAGCCTGGCACAGACACACAGGACACATAAAGTTATACACTCAACAAACAGTCCACATCTCTCCACAGCATCCAGCACAGAGCTCGGCACAGGGTGGGTGCTTCTTCCCGACACGTGACCAGGGGTTTGGTGGAATGTGCAGGAAGACCCACAAGCAGAGTTAATCACACTCGACTTGTAGAGGGAAGGGGAAATGTAAGAGTGAATCAGGTTTCTAGTTTCTGCTTTTCCAATTACTACTAGAATTTTCCTGAGCAAGGCACTTAGTCTTTCTGGGCCTCGGTTTCCTGACGTACAGAATACCATGTGGGCACCAGGATTCCTCATGAACAGCAGAATGCCTGCTGTCAGAGGTGTTCTCCTTCAGCCTCACCTGCCTTGCCTGAGACGAGGATGGCTGAGCCCACGCTTCCAAGGGCTCATAGCTCCATGGAAGGGTTTGTGTGGGCAGGGCAGGGGGAAGGCAGCAGCAGCGGTGGGAAGGGATGAATTCCCTGCACCGTGAGACTAACAGACTGCTTCTGAACATGGGAAACACTGCACTGCATGCACCACCCGCTGAGTGCTGAAACACAACCCGCGCACTCATAGGATAGTCTGGGTTGTGTTTCTAAACTACAGATCAGAGGAGAAAGCAAAGGACAGAAATAGTTTTCTTTGTATGTTTTTACAAAGTGGAAAAAACCAATTTTCCATCCACTCTGATAGTCAAAAGGGCTTAGTAACTTGAAGGCAGGATGCCAGTCAGAATCACCTTGAATGTCCTTGAACACTAGTCTAGAGTGCGATTTAGCTCCATGATCTTAGGAGGTTTGAAGGTAAAGTCATTTTCCCCAAGTAGGAAAAGTAATTAGGAAAAATGAGTGCAGATCATCTTTATAAAAATATATATATACACTCATAACTTGGAAAACTAAAACGAAGCAGGGACACAGCCTGTTGCCTGAGCTGGACTGACTACGCCCAAATATTGGGTCTAGATAAACTAGGGCCAAACGGTCTTGCAGATCCATGCCTTCTGAACAAAATCACTAATGAGCCACACAAGGTCATCTCACACTCTCCTGACCCCGAAGTAAGCGAGTGAGAGTAAGGTCAGAGGAAACCTCGCCATGTCCCAACTGCAAATTCAGGCATTGACTTCTTCCCTGGCTGAGCAAATGCACTGAGTCTTGACTACAGTCTCCTTCCTTCCCCTCCCCGTAAGAGCTCCTAACTTTAGTTTATTTGCTCCCAAATGTAAGAGAGCAAGTGACCAGGCTTTCTCACAAGACTACCACATCCCTGCATGCTGCTTCACACACCTCCGCCTCTCAGGAACTGAGCCCCAATATCTGGCCAGAGAAAGGCATCATTCTCCCAGGAGCTCCATCAGGAAGGAGGTTCCCACCAACCAGCATCTTTGTGGCCATTTCCCAAATCACTATTTTGGTCTAACTCGGAGGTGAGCTTATTCAAATCACTGTCAATTTGAGCCAATTACAGCCACTAGGGTCCCTGGAAACTGTGCCAGCCTCAGCTCCCTGAGTCCAGCCTCCCAGGAGGCCAAGCAGCCCCAGCAGCCAGGGGGCACCTCACGGGAGAGAGATGCAGAGACCCTCACTCCTCACCCTCACCACCTCTGCTGAACTCTCGCAACACGAGAGGTCTGGCTGACCACTCGATCTCTGTCCCCTTAGATGAGATCTCCATGTGACATACCTCCTGCGGCCCTACCAAGAGACCACCAGCTCCTGAGGTCAGGCTCCTCAGGGGGAGAAGTTCTTTTGGGGGTAACCCTTCAGGGTGGCTCAGCCAACGAGCAGTCTTAGGGGGAGGAGGAAGGGGTGCTGTCCTACCTTGTCACTGTCCACTGTGTTCTGAGAGGTCCTGGAGGCAATGGAGATGGTATCTGGCTGGCTGCTCCCATCCCCCTGGCTGTCACCATCCTCTACTCCATCTCTGCAGGGAGAAGAGAAAAAAAACAGGGGTGGGGGTGGGGGGAACCGCTGTGGGTGTAGAGCCACAGGATTTCCAGCTGGGCTGGCAGAGCAGGGCCCAGGGACTTCCTAGCAGGGATTTGTCTGCAGTTATCCCCCTACAGGGAGCAGCCCTGGGGGATTTCCAGGGATGTAACCACTTGGACTTAGTAAACACATAATCACTCTGTCACTAACTGAACACAACATGGCTCCTTCTCCAAAACTCCTCTGGGCCGATGCAGAGGGGGCAACTGCTTATTCACCTCTAAGGGGAATGGGTCTGTAGGAGGCACTGGAAGAGGCACATCCTACTTAAGACCAAGGCTTCTATCCAGCTGACTGGGCCATCACCCACAATCCCAGAACTCAGGGTATTCATGTGGCTTTTCTGCATCCTGTAATGGCTGGGGAAGGTTTCTAGCTGGCCTACAGGGAAAACAGAACTGGTAAGATACTGCTGTGACTTGTGTGTCGTCTGCTCCAGAAACTGGAGTGGGATATTTTCTCCACAGAGATTATCTTCGGGAAGTTCCTGAGGATGGACCCTCAACTCCTGGGTATGGAGGAGTTTGCTGCCTTTGTTTTGGTGGGTCTTGATCTCCTGCTCACTCATGATGGCTTCTTATAAACACAGGAGGCCAAGGCTTCTTCTCAGAGATAGGAGAACAGCCAGAGATTCTCCATAGCAGCTTTCGAGACAGCTGCGCTCTTGGTGTCTGATAAGGCAGGCTCCCAAGTGCACTCCTGGCACCGGGACCCCTTCCTGTCCCCTGGACCATACCACAATCCCACATCTTCCTAGACTCTCCAGCCTCAGAACTGTGACCTAATCCTGCACTGAACCCATAGCCAGAGCCAAGGGGATTTACATGCTTGGGAACTGGTGAAGGCTAAAAGGTTTGTGTCAGAAAAAAAACTGGAGAAGATGTGGGCCAGGGGTTGGATAGGTTAGCACAGGGAATGACAGCTCTTCCCATGGAGGCCTTTATGAATGTCACAGCCCCAGTGCTGCTTACAGAGAAGTCATGGCATTAAGGAGAAGGGGAACTCAGTGTCCTGGAAAGGTACCATGTGGGCAAAACCCCCATATACTAAAGCTGCCTCACAGAATCTAAACATGACAATGGTGAGTCTATGTGGACATGTGTGTGCTTGTGGGCATACATGTGATGCTCAGGTATATACATGGTGTCCGTTAGTCATAAAAAGTTATTTCTAAGTCGACTGCTCTTTTACCATTCCTTGTCGGTTTGGAAAAAGTCAACTTATTTTTAATAACACAAGCCACACATTTATAGGAAGGAAAATCTGCTGTGAAAAGAAATTATGGGATGCATTTTAAAACAAAACATAAAGGACCTTCAGATCATCTGTTGTGGATATTCGGCCACTGCGCCCACCAGTTGTGGAGCATTAAGAGCTGGCTGTGCTTTCTGCTTCCCACTTGCCGGCCCATTGCAGGCTGCTGGCCCCTCCAGATGAAGCCAGCTCTGGGGGAGGGAGGGAGCCCAGCCAGGAGTGTGGGTAGTATTTCCCCGGCCAACCCGCTCCTCCATAAACTCTGTCCCCACATCCAGGAAACAAGCTAATGAACTCACAGATTGCCTGGCTGTTCTCTGCAGAGTGTACTGAGGTTTCTCCCAGTCTCATCACAGAACAAGGACAGGAAAAGGGGATGGCATTTCCAGGACATGTCACCCCATTTCCAGAGATGCCCACTCTCTTACTGCAGCAAAGAGGGGTTTTCTCATGGAGTCCCCCTGGCCAACCTCTCCTGAACGACCCTGCCTACCATGGTCCTGGACGTTCAGCTCTTTATGACCATTTCCATTCTATCTTCTTATTAAAGCATGGCTTTCCTGCAGCAGGGCCTGTCTCTAGTGTTTAAGTCTATCTCTCACCTGGACTCTGGACAAAGGTAACTGAAATAAAAATAACCCTTCCCCCAGCACAGTCCTGATCAACTGTCCCCCAGCACAGCAAGGTGACCGTATCCTGGCCATGAAAGTCGAGGGGCTTTCTCCCCATGAAGGTATCTCTCTCCAGCTTCATCTCACCCTCCTTCCAGTTACCACCTCCCTCTGGACTAATGCTGCTATTCCCCAGGCTCGGCAGTGTTGCTCCAGCCTGGGTGTCCTTGTTGGCACCAAAGCTTCAAATAAATCTTTGGGATTTATTCCATTCATGAATAGGGGAGGAGAGGAGAGCCAGTGACCCTCACCACCAGATCTCTGCCTTTTGTTTTATCCCCCCTCCACTCTGCCCATGACGTTCTTATATACTTTCTTTTGAAGCACCCTCCAAAGGAGAACTTGTAGGTGATGCCACATGGGGAGGGAGTTAATAAAATATTTGACCAAATATAGCAGGCTAATTTTTAAGTTGATCATTTTGTATGGCCTGTGAATGATGTTATAAATATCCAAATGGTTTTTGGCAGAAAAAAAGGCTCCCCACCCCTGGATAAGGGGAACTGGGATTCAAACAGATGAAGGTACAAAAACATCTGTCCTCTTCTGCCCAATCCATCACATTGCTTTTCTCGGATGAATAGAGGTGAGGACTCCAGGGGTGTGGCAGTTAAGAGCTGCAATGACAACCCCATCATACCACCCCCTGCCTTACAGTACACAACGCCCTTTTCCTGTTCAACAAGCCAGGAGCTCCCCGCTCATGACCCAGCTCCGCCTCCCACCCAAAGTCTTCCCAACACCCCACTGCAGTGCTCCTGTACCGTCCCCACTTCCCACCATTCCTTTGTCTCTCTGTCATGTGTGAGACGTGCCTGTTGTTAGATGGTTCTGGACAGAATGGCTCATCTCACACTTGCTTTTAGTTTCCTGTAGCACCTTGCAGAGCATCTGCCAAAATAAGACTGCTCACCGCAGCCTGCAGAAGGGAACTGCCAGTCACTGGCAAGGATGCTTAGGAGAGCTAACTCATCTCAGGGAGAACATGAGGGGTTCATGGAGGAAGCCCCCTGCAGAGCACATCCTGTGGAGGCAGCTTCACCCCTCCCCCACCCCAGAAGCAGGACTGGGAAAACTAGGAGGCGGGGACGCTGGTTACCTCTTACTATTGTTTCTCAGTTTGGCTGGTGTTTTGGGGAGCTGGATGGGCTCCTTTAAAGCTCCTTTCAGGTGAATGATCCTTTCTTGAATCACTTCCCGTATGTTCTTGATCCACTCCTGCTTGGTTTCTATGTTGGAGGCCTGGAGTGCCACAGGGAGAGAGAGTCAGTGCCCATCTCCCTCCGTCCTGTCCAAGCAGTTCTCAGTCCACCTCCTGCAGGCCGCATCCATTATGTTTGACACCGAATGTTTGAGGGGTTTATTTCTCCTTTTATTCTCAGGACTCTCCAGTCCCAGGGTCACACTGCTCCAACTAGAGCAGGGCTATGACCTCCAGATGCAATGGAGACGGGTGCAGGGTAATTTCTAAGTATTTATGACCTGCAGGGTGTACTTCTATCTGCCCCGGGGCTGGGGCAGTACCTGGAGGTCCCGTGGATGAACATTTTGGTGACTTGGGAGATTTGGGAGAAGCAGTAAGTGGGCAGCTGGAGGCAGTGGCTAACAACCAACAGGTGCAGGTAATGCTTAGGAAGTTCAGCACCCGGGATGGCCACACAGGCTGTGGGGGCTACAAGTCAGTCCCAGGCTCTTGGCCTGGAAACCTGCTCATTGGAGGCGTCGCCCATCCCACGAATCCCATTTGTCACTGTGGAACTTGGTTCAGGTCATTCTATCTCATGGCATGCAGCAGCTGTGCTGGCAATGCAGCGACGGGCACTGCCAGGTAAGCATATGGCTGGTGGGGGCCCTTGGGCAGCACCTTTTCCCAGTGAGACCAACATTTCCACGAGCACTGACTCAGTGCCAGGTGAATGTGCCCTGCCGAGCTGACATGACACCTCACGGCCATTGTCTGGGGGAAGGTCCTTTCTTGTCATTCCTCTCCACCAGCATCGTTCCCATGCTTTCCAACTTAACTTACTAGAGCTCCTAAAGTCCATGTTTCTGGGAAGAGTCCATGCCTTACACATACCACCGTGCAGAATACCTTACATGGACAAGGTTCTCAGGAAAAAATGTTAAGTGAATGTAGAGCAAATCAAGGTGACTTTTGTCAAAGGGTCACCTGTTGCCCTGGACACTTGAAGGGGACACAGGACAGAAAAGCCAAGGAGGCCATGCTCTGTCTTCTTCACTCTACGCTCCTATGGTTGCATGAGCTTAGGAGACCACTTGTCTTTGAGATGTTGCGTCTACTTTCAGGACAGAATTTGCTTCTCAACCCCCAAGTGATGCCTTTCCCCAGACAGATCTGTGGTCTACTGGCCTAGCTGTAGGTGTAAGAGCCCACATTCCTCCCCCTCTCCCTCACTCCCCTCCACAACACTGGTCTTGAGCCCAGCAGAGGGCAGTACTCACTTTCAGCACGGTTTTATTGTCAGAGGACGGGGTGCGCCCAGACCACAAGGCGAATTTGCAGGGGTCCCCCTCTACGTGCTCCGTCACACCCAGCTCTGAGGTCTGTAGACAGGAAATGCCTGTGAGAGGCGGGAGGGGAGGGCAGTGGGGAAACTCAGGGCTGGGGTGGGAAAGGCAGCAAAGAGGAGAGGGCCGAGGAAGGGGCTTCTGTCAACTAAACTCAAACAGACTGGGTGTTTTGTTCATCTACTTGGCAAGAAAGGACCTATAGGCTTGTGCCTGATTAGCAGGTAGCAGGGAGGGAAGTGAAGAGGGAGGCAATGAAAGCAACAGGAAGAAGAATTGTGGACTGTAAAATGCAGAGGTGGGAATCAGAGGGAGGGCTTTCAAACAGGAGGCAATTTCATTTGTCCAGGACAACTCTGGTGTGGCGCTGGGGGAGAGATGAGCAAGGGCTCGAGATCCCTTCCTGCCCAAGGGCTCCATGACAACAGGGAGTCTTGTCGTTCCCCACCTACCAGTAGCTTGTTCTTGTAAACATATTTCGTGTGTCCTGAAGAGTCTTTGATTTCCTTGCTGAAAACCAAGGAGATCTCAAAGAGGAACAAGTGCCGCTCCCGCCCCTTCCGGATCAGAGACTTGGGGTCCCACACTTGGAAGGCGTCCTGGAGGATCAGCTCCCCCTGCACGTCCAGGTTCTCGTCGAACCCTGAAAAACACCCGTGTCACCCTGCGGAGTTTCTCTAGCGCCACACTCAGGGTGCCGTGCTGCACCCTCATAGGGAAAGGCTTCCCTGGCTGTGAGCCCTCAGCTCCACTGCGCTTTCTCTCTCTCGCTGAAACACCTGAGCACGTGAGCAGCTGTAATCAGAACCCCCTCTGCACCAGCTCTCCCACACATAACCAGACTCAGGGAATCTCCTGCAAAGCTCCTGTGCAACCTCCCACAGCTCTGCTGTAGTCTGGGACCTCCTGCAGGGGCAAACCCACAGCTCCCACCTCCACAGCTCCCGCTGCCCCACCTCGAGCTCAGAGTGGGGCTGAGCACACACATTGCCCCATCAGGTGCCCTTGACTCCACTTTACTTGGTGTGGCTCTAGTTCTCATGGTCTATTCCGAGGACTATTTCCTTTGCTCTTATACAGAGTGGTGCATACTCCTTCAGAAATTTATATTTATACCACTTTAAATCTTTAATAGAGGTTCTGAAACTTTACTGTGTATACAGATCACCCATAGAGCTTGTGAGAACACAGATTGCTGCTCACTGCTCACGTCCCTAGAGGGTGGGATTCAGTAGGTATGGGGCGGAGCCTATGAATTTGCACTTTGGATAAGCTCAGAGGTGCTGCAGCGGTTGCTCCACAGACCATACTTGGAGTAGCTAGATCCAGAGTACAGGTCGGGGAAAGGCTAGAGGAGAAGGGGACATCCCTGGATGGGAGGATATGCAAACAGAAAAGAAAGAGGGGGAGAAACTGTGACAATAGGAATATATTCAGATGGTTAGTGCTTAGTCTGGAGAAGGTAACCAAGGCTCCTTTGCGTGTAGAAATGGGGCTTTCTTGCCAAAGGTGACCTAGAGGTATTGAGACCAGACCAAGTGTTTTAGATGGAGGGGAGGGGGCAGGGGAGAAGGAGCCCACAGGTTTACGTATATACAACACAGTGTACTTATCTCCCTCCACACCTGTTTGCCAGCTTCGACTGGGATGAGTCGACTCATCTAAGAACTTCCACCCCAATAGGGCTGCTCTCTGCCCATCTGTTTTGCGGTGTTAAGAGCACTTTGTTGGAGCCTCACTCTGCCAGGTTTCTGGATTCCAAGACAAGACATGGTTCCAGGGGACTGGGTGGACGTTGGTGAAGTCCTACGAGGTTTGCCTGGCTGGGCTTTTCCACCGGCTAGGAACAGCATAAGTGTAGCTGCACACCAATGTAGATGCACATAATGTCACTGAATTGTACACTTAAAATTGGTTATAATGGTGAACCTTAGGTTATGCATCTTTTATTACAATAAAAAAAGAAGGGCATTGGGCTGAAGACTGTGTGTGTGTGTGTGTGTGTGTGTGTGTGTGCTGTGTGTATGTTCATGCCTGCAGGATTTCTACTTAATCTTCTGACAAACGCAATGCAACCTGGGCCAGCAGATGGGACTGTCAGATGAGGAAACTGATGGAGGGGAATGTAGATGAATAGGACTGCAGTGGGTCAGGGCTGTAGCCCACCTATAGTGAAGGTGATGGCCTGTCCTAGACCATCTCACAGGCAGCAAGCTGTCCACATACCTGAAATGGCTTGGGCTGGTCTACCTGGAGGCAGGTGAGCTGGATGTGGAGCTCCTTGCACTCCGCCCAAGGACCTAGGCAACCACTTGCCATTTCTCCTCTCTTCTGGCCTTGCCCCTTGCCTGACTTCACGTCACTTCCCTTCCCTGATACAAGCTCTCTGTTCTTAAGGAAAGGGGGCAGAGAGGACAGCTACCTTCCAGCATGCTGACATGCATGGCGTCATTGGCTTTCTTTGGGACGCTGAGCATCACCTCCAGGCCATCCTTGAGCTCCCCCTTCCCTTCTTCACAGCAAGTTAAAAGTTCCTGGGGGAAAAGTCCAAACACAATTAGAATCATCTCACCCAGCTTCCCCACCCTCTCAGCACCAAACCCATTCAGACAATTACAGCCAGAGTCATTCTCAACAATGGCTCCCTCTAAGCTTTAAAAAAAGTGCAGTCGGATAGGATGGGATTAGCTCCAAAGAACTCAACCACAATCCTCCCCACCCCCACTGAGATCCCTCAGCTCAATCTCATCCAAACGAACTCAATTCAACCCAAGTGGTAGGGTGTTCTCTGAACTTGACTGCCCTCCTGGAGAAGAGAATGTCCCTTGCAAAGCTCAGGAGTAAAGGCCCAGTCCTATGGAACCATGAAGAGAAGACAAGGGTATGCAAAGAACGCTCAGCATTCATTTGTCACCTGCACTTCTATGTACACACCTCTACTGCCTGAATGCTGACTCCCATCATACTGGGAGCAATCTGGGGCTACAGACATCATAGGTTTATGGTGTCTGCATTTCAAAGTTACAAAAGACTTTTAGATCCTATTGTTCAGGAGTTCCTAACCTGAGGCCAACAGATGGGATTCCATACTAGTCCTTTCATTGTCAGATGAGGAAACTGATTAAAAGGAATAGAGATTCTTCCCAGGTTACAGAATTCATTGGAAGGAAAGTAATGCAGGGGATTGAGTCCAGGTTTCTTAAATCTAAGACCAGTGTTCCATCCACCATGCTAACCCTATCTCCTTCATATTCTCCACCACATTAAACTTCCTGGAGCACATCCTCTCTTTTTACCTTCTCACTGGAAACTATCATCATTACCATCTCTATAAAATACATAGAGTATTTGGTTGATGGAGAAAAGATAATTTCCAACTATCCTATGAATCATAAAGACCATTTGCAATGATTTTGGCCAAATCAGAAAAATGCTGAGTTTGACTTTTCTTATCAGGGTTATTGTATCTTGCTCACTTTGACCCTCGGAAGGAAACAGTTAAGCAACAGATCTGCAATCCATACTGTCTCCTTGGGGAGTTGAGGATGGGGGGAGGCAGGGGATGGGTGGGGATGCACTTTCAGGAAAGAAAGAAGGTGAACAGATCAAGCCTTGTAAACATGTGAACTACAGACTTTCTAGCAAATAAATGAATGACACTTGCTCTGGAATGCCGTTAGTAGAATAGATGTGGCCCATTTATCCAGGACATTTTATGGTAAATATACCTGGAATCTGGGGCTCAATAGGCATGGCTCCCTGGAAAGTATCATGTAAGCTATGCAACTGTTTAAGTAAAAAGTGAGTACACTTCATGACCACAATGGCTCTCTTCAGCACAGGTGATATAATACATCATTTGGAAACCTTGTATGTTGATCTGGACCCCAGCACATCCTGACACTGCCAGAAGGGACTTGGAACTGCTGGCAATCCGGGACTTCTCTCTCTTTTACCTCTGCCCTAGATTATTTGTATCCTTGAAGCTACAGCCATGTGCCACTTATCTATGGGGATATGTTCTGAGAAATGCGTTATTCGGGAATTTTGTTATTGTGTAAGTATCATAGAGTGCACTTACAGAAACCTGGATAGGATAGCTTATTGCTCCTAGGCTACAAGCCTGTGAAGCATGTCACTATATAAAATGATATGAAACTAAACCAAGCACAAGAGAAAATGCAGCAATCAAGGGAGGATATAAACATGATGTAAATGAGGCTGCTGCCAGATAACACAGATAGTGCTTGGCAGAAAACTTTTTTTTTTACAAGTAGAAAGAGTGCACTCTAAAATAGTAAAAGAATAGCAAATGCATAAACCAGTAAGAGTCATTTATTATCATCATCAGGTGTTATGTACTGTACATAACTGTATGTGCTGTACTTTCATACGACTGCCAGCATCACCATAGCACATGCATATGCATTGTGCTAACACATACGATGGCTATAACATCACTAGGTGTTGGGAATTTTTTCAGCCCTTTTGTAATCTCATGGGACCACTGTCATATATGCCTGTCTATTGCTGTTCAAAGTGTCATTAGGAAGTACATGACAGTATTGGCAAAGCTTTACACTTGGTAAGCTATCCAATTGGTGAGCATCTGGTCTGAAAATCAAATCCATTGTGTTATCCTGGACACATTCCACATGAATAAGTGAGCTTTGAGTGCCCACAGAAGAGGTGAACTTCCCAGAACCCATGTTTGGGAGGTAGAAGAGACCACTTCTCAGCTCTGTCCTTGGTACCACTCAGTAAATGGCATCACTGTTCACAAAGTTGGTTTTCTTCTGCCAACCTGAACTTCTCTGATTCTCCCCACCACTTTCCTAATTCTAACCCACACACCCATGTTTTCATACATCACCAAAAGGAACTTGTAGGCAGAAACATAAGAGAGAAATAAGAAATATGCTTCAGTTCACAACAGAAAACACCAATTAGTTTAACCCCCAAAGCAATTTGGCAAACCCACTAATCACCCAGTAGAGCCAATAAGTTCTACTCAGATCCCAGTGATAGTTTATGATAAGGCGAAGGCTCCACATTTCATTCACACCCCAAAGGACAGCGGCAGCAGATTTACACAGAGAATATTGAACATTCGAACTGATAGATAGTTTTTACTTTCACGTAACACCTACAGTGAGGAACCCCAGAGGATACTGATAATTAAATATCAATTTATTTGGAATAAAACTGACTTTAATGAGAAAATTAATCCTATGTTATTTATTTATAGGAAAAGCTCAGCAAACTATTTTTCTTTTACTTGGCAGGCATTATGCTTCTAGCACATTTAAAAGAGGCTGAAATTATCTTAAATGATTTTTTCCCAATCATTCTACTACTTCTCTACAAACCAATTCCCATGACTTTATTCTTTCCCATCTCAGTTACATACACAGTCATGTCTTCCTAAAACATTCAAGACAGAATGAAAGCCCAGAGCCCACCCTCCATTTGCCTAAAGTGAAACACAGGACAGCCATCCATTCCCCGCTTCCTCCCTGTCACAGAATTAATTCCCGGAACCTCAGCTTTATGGGTTTAAAAGGGAGAGGCGAAAAGATGTCTTTCTCTTAGAACTGCATCTTACCTGATTTAAGACACTGTCAGTGTAGATGGGGGAGTTAATCCCCCCACCCCCAATTCCTAAAAGGCTTGGGGATACTTAAATTTAAAACAACAACAACACAAAAATAATTTTTTAAAATCTTTTAGATAAGAAAAAAACAGTTCTGCGGGATAGGAAAAAGGGAGGAGAACTACACACAGACACCTGGGCTAAGGAAAAACTATCGTGAGTAACTGGAGAAGTCAATGCTAATGATCCGGCAGGCAAAGGCACAGAAGGACCTGAAGGTAGAAAGCTCACCAGTCCTTCAGGAAAGAACTTCCCCACCCACTACGAGCCCCACCCCAAGATCTTATGAGAAATTTGGGGTCTTTCTATTAGAAACTCCAACACATGAAGAGGATGACAGTTTCAACAGCAGTTCTGCCAAACAGCCGAGATGTCCTGCCCATTGCTATTTCTGACACTAGTCCTCAGTAAGGCCCTGGGCACGATGCTGCAGTTTAATTCTCTAAGTCATTTCTGCAGAGTCGGATGACAAGGGCACCTGGGAGCAACACTCCATAGTCTCTTCTTAGAGGCAGGAAGGGGGTTTGAAGGAGGAGGCTGCAGGAGAAGGATGGTGCATGGCCCTGCCCCGGCCCAGAGCAGAAAGAGAGGTCCAAGACCCAGACTCACTGCTGCACCCCCTCTGCTCATCCTGGATCCACAAGTGCTGAGCCAGGGAGACCACGGACCAGACCCATGGGCACATTTTCAAACCCAGATTTGAAACTAGGCTGGTTTTCAGGGTTAGTGCAGCCAGGATATGTGAGATTTTGCAAGCATGAACTGAATTTCTAAACATGAGCTGATTTCCATTACATTTTCTCTGGAACTATACTACTTATAACATACCCTCTCACTATCCTTTGCATTTGAGGAGCAACCAGCAAAATATTCAAACTTAGGGAAAATTGCACTTACACATCTTAAGAATTCAGTATAACTGCCTGGGATATCATTTCCCAGGCTTTCTGTGGGGAAATGTCATATTTTCAGATTGTTAGCTTATCCTTCTATGAGAAGAATCAGCCCAACTATTTAGCAGTTTACATAATTTTATTTGACTTTTAAAGAAAAGATTTTGGAGGAAACCCTCATCTCTTGGTTGGCTCCAGGAGAACCTCAATATATGGAATCCTACAGACACCGAGTGTCAATGTGCTTTGAAAACCCACTTTTGATCAACTCCTGTCCCTCAAAACCCTTTAGTCCCACAAACCAGAGATTACGACAATGGCAAGTACTACCCCTGGCAGCCATGACCATGCAGACTGGCACTGCCCCTAAGACCTCAGCCCCTAATCCTGTCAAAAGCAGGAGCCACAAGAGGGGATCTGCCCCAGGAGGAAGGGACAGGGGAGGCTTTACCTGCCAGCCAGTGGCTGGGGTGGCAATCACTCAAAGAGGTGCAGGGGTGAGTAGGTGACCCCTCTTCCTGCTCCCAGTTCCCCTCCTTCCCCCTAGTGAATAAGCATCTGGAATTTGAAGGGATGGGACATGCAGACTGGAGCCAGCGATGCAAGCATGGGCTCATCGCTCAAGTTCTGGTCTGGGCAGAGGAGAGGTCTTTAGGTGAAAGCTCTCCCATCCAGGACAAAGCGGAGAACCTCCCCCTTTGGGCCTGGCAAGAGGGAGGGGAGACACCAGGGCAGGGAGGTACCTTCAGGAGCAGTTGGTACTTGGTGATCCTCTGGACGGGCTTGATCAGGTAGGAAGAGATGGAGTTGGCCAGACCGTGCCGCTGCTGTATCTCCTACAGGATGGAAATGAGCACCATCAGACACGGAGGGGCATGTGCATGTGTGTTGTAGGCAGGAGGCAGGTGGGGTAAGAAGAGAGGCAAAAGGGGAGAAAGTAATTATGAGAAGCTTCTTTGATGGGGAAAGGGAAGGAGAAAGAGAACGATGAGAGACTAAGGTGCATACAGAAATAGAAGTCAAGAGGAGAGATGGAAAAGGGGGAGAAACTTTAGGGAAAGAAGACAGATTTACAAAAACAAATGGAACCTAAGAAATACAGACACAGGTAGAGAAAGTGATGAGGTAAGTAATGGGTAGAAGAGCAAAGGAGAGGTGAAGAAGTAGAGGTGAAGGAAATAAACCCAGCATGGAAGACATGAGAGGAGGATAAAAGAAAGACGAGAATAAAGGGAAGGCAGAGAGTGAGCTCTGGTTTCTATTCTGATGGCTCTTGAGTCTTTGTCGGCCTGCAGTCTCTTTCTTAGAACTGCACAGGACAGATTCCACTTCCCATTCCTCTCTTCAGATTTCACACATCCCATCCTAGAATCACCACTTTTCCTTAAAACTTGTTCACTATGGTCAATGGTAGGGACTCCCCTCATTCTTCAGGTCTGCTGAGCTGGAAACCATGGGGTCATTTCCAGCCTTTTCCCTCTGTGATCCCTGACCCTGGGAGGATGATCTTTCCTGGCCACACTGTCTACATCATTCATGCCCAGGCTGTAACCATGGCTTCCAGCTGTTCATGCCTCTAGTTCTCATGTTAGTTCTCTTTCTCTCCTACCTCCAAAATGATCTATTCCCCAAGGTCTAGGTTGAAAATTAGAGAAGGGTGAATTTTAGTCCCTTCCCTCAAGAACCTCTATGCTAGCTAGCCAATGACGCTCACACATATGAAAGAGAGAGCAACCAAGGATGACAGGAAGACTTCTCATTGGTACTGCCAGGGAGACCAGAGTGGAGGCCCTGTCCCCAGGAGTGATTTTACAGAAAATGCCTTTGCTGGGGCTTAAAGGACAGGAAGGGGTGGTGAAGTGGGAAGTTGGAGGTATGGTACTCAACAAACAGAAAATATATAAAGCCAAATGCACAGAAAATAATGCTTATGCATTTAGATGACAATGAGGACCATGCCCAAATAGTACAAAGGGTGCACACCTAGATTCTATGAAAAAGTGAAAAATACAGCTAGATAAACAAGATGCTTTTAGGGCATTGATGAGGCTGAGCTAGAACAAAGAATTAGGATTTGATGGTGAGCCTCTCAATGTAAAGTACTGTGGACATTACATGGAAGAAAACTATGGTGGAAGCAATGTTTCAGAAAGAGTAACTGAAGCCTACGAGCAACACAGGGGGTGGAAGTTGGGAAACAGAGACAGGGAGACTGAGTTTACTGCACACGCCTTAGTGCAAACGTAACATTACCACATGATCTAGCAATTCCACTCCTTGGTATACAGGATGGACAAAAGTAGGTTTATAGTTGTCAGTACTCAAAACACAGAGTTTATCCTTGTGTTATTATTTATTATTGTATTATTTTCCATATGAACAACTACTATTATGAACAACCTACTTTTGCTCCACCCAGTATACCCAAGATAAATGAGAACATACATCCACACAAAAACTTGTATACAACGTTTACAGAAGAATCTATATATATATAAAAGCCTAAGCAACTGTTAAGGCCAGTCAACTGAATGACAAGTCCACCAGTTACTATGATGTTCACTGACCACCAGAGGGCAGATGCTCAATGCAGGAGCTACCCCCTGGTGGTCAGTGCACTCCTACAGCCAACCTCCCATGGCCGGCCAACCTCCCCAGTCCCTCCCCTAGCATGCTGCCCCCAGTTGGTCCCGATTGGGACTGATTGAGACAACTCTGATTGGTCCTAATCACCGTCCAGGCCGAGGGACCCCACCCGTGCATGAATTTGTGCACCAGGCCTCTAGTTATTAATAATATGGAAAAGGAGGGCACAACCTAAATGTCAACCAATTGATGAATGGAGAAACAGAATGAAGTGCTAAGACATGCTACAATATGGATGAACCTTGAAAATACCATGGTATGTGAAAATAGCCACAACAGAACACATTGTCTGATCCACTTTTATAATATATCCAAATAGGCAAATTTAAAGAGATAGAAAACAGGTCATTGGTTACTTAGGCCTGGGGGAATAAGGAGGAGGACAAAATAGGGGGGTGATTGCTTTTGGGGATGACGTAAAAATTCTAACATTGACTGTGGGGATGGTTGCACATGTCTGTGAGTATACTAAAGCCATTATATATATTATACATATTTATATCTATATCTTCAGGCTTGCCACAAGCAAAGATTAGTGAAAACAAAGTGCTAGGAAGAATAAAAGAAACATTGAAAGTTAGGGCTTGCTATGTGGCCATGGAGGAGGTTGAAGAAGGAATGATAAAAATAAATTATTCAATTTCCTGCCAATTACCCCAGAAAGTATCAATTTGCTCACTCACTTGCCTCTTCCCTACAGGTGTGTAGTCATAGCAGGACTTGTTCAAGGATGATGGGCAAAACAGCTGGCAGCCTGACTCTCCTTGGGCAAATCATCATTGTGAATTAATTTGGGGCCTCAGCAGACAGCACAGGCAGTGACAGTCCTCCCTCTCTGACAAGACACCCAGCTCTGGGAAGGCTGCCGGTGCGGCAGCGAGAAAGGGGCTGCCTCACATCTGGAGTAGAAAATTTTGGATCATGTGAATGTGGGAAAGCTTCCCAGGAGTTCAATTTTCTGTGTTCTCTTTACAATAATAGGTGCTACGAGACTGCCTTTATGAAGGGTTTATCTCTTTTATAGAATGAGGGCTTAAAACAGATGGTTCCTACCTGTAGAACTTAGGGAAACCCGTCTGATGGATTGGGGGAAAAGTTGTAAAAATGATGCTTTCCAGGAAGCATTGGGAACCATCAGGAGAGTTTACTGCTCTCCCTCCCAACCTCCAGGACCAGCTCTGGAAACTCCCACAGACCAGAGTTCTGGCTTCCATTGACCTTCCCAGCTAAGGTAGAGGCTAATTAGGAACTAACTGGGAAAATGGAGGATAAAATTTGGGGAATGATTTATTAATCAAAGTCCAGAAATTGGCTAGGAACAGGCATATGAGGAATGTAGGACTAAAGGAAAATAGAGTTTAGCACCAGACTCTGTGATGTGTACAAAGTGAAGCAGGCAAACCATTAGTCAACCTCAAGGGGCTCACAGTTGGGGGAAGTGTGAGTAATGGAAAGGCACATGGTTAACCTGCCAAAAGGCAAATCATTACAAATGCAACACGAGAGACACAAAATATCATGTATGCATAGAGGAAGGGAAGGATTTCTGCAGAAAGCAATATGTAATCTTTAAGGTAAAAATTCTGAAGAGTGACTTTGTGTGGTTGTGCACACGTGAGCACGTCTATGTTCAAAGAGGGACCACAATCCATTTTGGGCAGAGAAAGCAGTGTGAGCGAAGATTAAAAGGCAGAACAGTGTACGGCCTGCTCTGACCCCAGGGCGAGTGTGTTCAGTAAAACACAAAGTGGAAGACAGGACATAGTGCATTGACAATGTCAAAAAGGCCCTTCTGGATACTGTTGATGAATAGTCCACCAGAAACATCTTAAGGAAAACATATTATTAAGCAAGATAATGGCATAAAGCATTCCATAAACTCTGACAACAAATTAGGGAAGTGCTTTACTTGGATTTTTTGTTTTATCACGTCTAACCTCAGAATTCCAGCCTGGACCTTTAGAACCAGTTCCATGTTAATGCTCCATTAAAACAGCACATGTGCTTTTTTTTGTCTGGCTTTCTCCCACTCAAGTGTCATTCCTGCTCTGAGCAATAAATCCTTGTAGAATCATTTCTGTTATGGCAGTGTCGGGCTAGAAAGATGCTCAGAGAAGGTTTATTCTGTAAACTTGAGTATGGGAACTGTAGTTACATGTCTATATCCCCCCAGGGGGCCCAGCAATTACCTACAATTGTGCTTCCCATCTATCTGACATACGGTAGATATTCAGATGTTTAAGGAAGGAATGAAAGCAGGTAGGCAGAAAGACAGAGTGATCCTAGTAATAAAAGGGTAATATGCAAATTGACAGTAATGACTGAATGACTAGGAACCGGTCGCTATGATGCACACTGACCAACAGGGGGCAGACGCTCAATGTAGGAGCTGCCCCCTGGTGGTCAGGGCGCTCCCTCAGTGGGAGCTCCACTCAGCCACAAGCTGGGCTGACAGCTGCGAATGCAGCAGTGGTGGTAGGAGCCTGTCCCGCCTCTGCAGCTGGACATCCCCTGAGGGCTCCCAGGCTGCCATCTTTCGCCTGGTCCCTGTGGGAAAGGGCCTAAGCTGGCAGGTGGATATCCCCCAAGGGCTCCCGGGTTGCAAGAGGGCTCAGGCCAGGCTGAGGGACCCCCCCCCCCTCAGTACACAAATTTTCATGCACCGGGCCTCTAGTGAGATGATAAAACATTCTGAATTTCAAGTTTTTGTCCTTCTGATATAACTACCAGAATGTCCATCACTGCTACAGTCCCTCTCTCACTGAGCTTCCTTTCTGCCTTCATTTCTTCTCTCCCTCTTGCTCTTCCCTTGCATCCTGTAGTGACCCACTTGGCTCTATTCACTTTAGACCACTCTTAAGACTACACAGATTTGTGCCATCATTCACCTTAGGACTGGCTCCTCATTAAAAACCAAAGGATCTGACGAGATCCATCAGCTCTGACCCTTCTCTGGGCTTTTATTCCACACATGTGCCTGACTTTGGCTGCACATTACTCTCACCCAGACATTTTAAAAACTTTCAACGCCCAGCTCAGATCCAGGCCAATCCTCACAGAACCTAAGAGGTGGAACCTAGAACCACTATTGTTAAAAACTCCCCAGGTGACTCTGTGTGTAGCCAAGGTTGAAACAGTTGCATTAGAGTAGGGATTCTCAAACTTAAGTGAGCATCAGAGTCAACTGGAGGGTGAGCTAAAGCTCACATGATTGGGTTCTAGTCCTGGAGATTCTGAGTCAATAGAGGTGGAGGGCGAGTCCAAATTATGCACGTCTAACAAGCTCTCACTCAGATGATGATGATGAGGCAGGTCTGGGGACCATACGTTGAGATTCCCTCCATGTGAGGGAGCTATATATAAAGTAGAAGTGAAACCTCTTAGTCAACCCCTGAATCCTAGCAGGCTCCTCTACCCATGAGATTTATGGCTAGCTAGGTTTGAAGCTGAGGCATGGAGGCAAACATGCCTTGTTCATAGCACTTGGGCTGGGATGGGGTTAAACAAAAGACAGACATGGATCCATGCTTTATCCAGGCGACAGAGGTTTGGGGTGGCCAGTAAAGAGAAGCGGGGAACAAAGTGAGTACCCTATTATGCCAAGGCAATGAAGCATTTCCACCTGCCTCAGTGGCTCAAGGATGGAAAATCACAGCTTACGTCAAAGAAGGTGCCTGCATGCTCCAGGATCAGCTGGTTGGAATCAGGTTTGTTTTTACAGTAGGTGACGTACATCTGAAATTTGTCTGCCTAAAAAGAACAAAGACAAGAACAGGTAAGCATCCGTTCGTTGCTCTCTTCTGTTGACTGTGTCCACAGGGCCCAGCAGGGGCTGTGTAAACAGATGGGATGTGCCACAGGATTATGTGCAGCCAATATTCTGGGCTTATCTGGTCCATGCTCCCCCAGCTTTGGGATGCCTTTCTCCTAACAGCAGGAGAAAGCTCACCGAACGTGAGCTCACTGTAATACTAGTCAGTATTTTTGTTTTGTCAGTGCTGGAAAGAATAAGCAAAAACCAATTCAATATCAGAACGTATTCTGCAGTTGGACAGCATTTAGAGATTATACCCTTTTGGGGATTATCTACAATTGTGCTTCCCATCTTGAACAATGACAGCATTTGCTTGGAAAGCAAAAATCAAGGCATGAAAATGAAATATGATCTCAGAGCTAGATCTGCTTGTACTTCAAGGGTCTCCATCGGGGGGTGGTTTGCAGGGAGGGTCAAGTGACTATGCAGCCACCCTCAACTTCTCAGAAGCAACATCGTGGGGAAGGGAGGCAGGGGGACCCTCTGGGCCAGGGTCTGAACAATGAGTCGTAACCAGGTTGTTACTTCAAGTCAAGAACCTTATGGCTTGGTGAAAATTCATTTCTTATTTCTCTCAGGACTCTCTGGGTTAATGCTACCCACTCTTTCCACTGGGAAAAGTATGTGTATTTTGGCCACCAAGTACTTCCCCCTTTGTGAAATGCTGCCATCTTGGTGCCTACAGAACCTTTGGGATGTCCTCTTTGAGAAAGCAGTCTAGATATGGGTTATACCTGTTTCATTTGATCCTCATGAGAACCCTATGCAATGAGTTGCATTATCGCCATCCCCATTTCACAGAAGTGAAAACTGTTCCAAAGTGGTAGACCTAGGAACGCTGACTTCAGGATTCTTGGTCATAGCCTTTCAATGGATTATAAATAACTTCTACCATTTACTCCTGCACTGTGCTCATAGGTAAGATTATAAGACCTCAGCCACCTTGGGATAATTCTTGGAAAGATGAATTATGCAATCACCAAAGGATTTCTGAAACTGGTTTTTGGGTTGATAGACTACCTGGAAGGCATTCATCACCCTGAAGAGATGATGCTGAATCATATTTTTGGTTGGTTGTAAGGCAGATCCACAAATTGTGTGAAACAAGATTTAAAAATCCCTTCATTTACTGGTCAATCTTGTCTTCTCTACATTGGCTGTAGAGAATCATAAATTGCATATGAGCATTAAAGTGAAATATGCTTGGGCTCGTGTAGTTAAGAGGTAGAAAATGTTATAGAACAAAATAAGACAGCAGTTTGAGACTTCCTTAAGAAATGAGAGAATGCCAGGAAACAAACATGAAGGCTTCATGAAAAGAAAGTAACTCAAGACTTGAACTGTGGAACTGACTGTGATATTATGTCAGGGGACTAGTCAATCTCCCATCATTTGAAATGTATCCATCTCTAAAACATAAAACATAACCATAGCCTTGCCTCTTCCACAACTCTTGAAGCATGAAGATATTTTGAAAAGTAATTCACCCATTTTGAGAAGTTATAATTATCCAATAATTATTAAATATTAGAACTCCTGATCTTTGGGAAGAATTTCCATGTTTAGTTGCACTTAGTGTCCTTTGTGACCTTCTCAGGAGATCTTTGCATTCATATCACAAACCTCAGCTGAAAATTCTGTGATGTGGAGATGCTAATGGAGACTACTGTTTCCACTCACGTAATTAAAACCTGGTACATTCAGCCCATTGACTTGGCCCATGACTATAGCACCTTGAAAGAGAATGACTAGAAACTCATTTTGCAGGTCAGAACTGGGACGGATACCCAAAGAGTGTGTTCTTCTCTATTAAGAAAATGTAATCAATGGTTTGGTGGCTTGACGTATTCCTGAAATTCTAATTCCCTAATCCTTACCCAGTTAAAAAACAAAGAAACAAACAAACAAAACAAAAATAGTAGATGGAGCTAGAGTAGTCCTCTATCAAGGGTGCTGGTCTTGTTCTAATCTTCTGATATCTTTATTTTAGAAAGTGCTAGAAAACTTAGCATGGCACTTAGACACAATGTCTAAGGACTTTTCCCAAGGAGGGCTCTGCTCCTCAGGGAGGGTCTGCTTCTCTCAGATCTACTCATGGCCCTTTTCTACAGTCCCTGGTCCTATGTTAGAATGTTGGTGACACATTCTCAGGTCAGGCACCGAACAGGGATGCCATCTGGCATCATCTGCACTCTTGGGAACCATGGGGGATGGGAGAACAGGATTTCAGGTCAGTTACCCAGGTAACAAAGCAGTGTCCCACATCCTCAGGCAGCTGCTCGTACTTCTCCAGCTCTTTGAGGAAGATGCTGTGAGGGGAGAGAAAGGCTGAGTCAGACATCTCTGTACTGCTGACCCCTTCTCCACCCCAGAGGACTGTGCTGAGGCCAACACAACCTCGCAAACCCTCTGTTCTTTACACATGGCTTTCCCCCTAACTGATAACATGGTCAAAAGTAGTTTTAAATATGTTGGAACTCATTTCATTAAAATGTACGTTAACTGATTAATTAGTGCTACTTAAAATAATAAAGTTTACCTTAGGGGTTTATACTTCTCAGGCTGAAAGTGATGAAATATTACATTTGTTTCGGGTCTTTTATTTTAATAACAATACAAGTCTATTTTTATACTAGCCACCTGAGTACACTATAATATTTAAAATATAGACATAAATATTAAAAAAGAACAAATTAATATCATCTGTAATCCCAGAGGTAAAGTGGAAAACTTTTTAATCCTACACAATTTCTAATTATTGGCCTTCTTCCATGATAGCCAATTTGTATTAAAACATAAGAATTAATGTTTCCTAATGCAGACATCATTTTGGAAAAAAAAGTTAACACAGAAAAAGTTACAATCCACTTCAAAATTGAATTGAATTACTACTGAATAATCTGCTATTGTGGACATCTGTGCCCTGGGTCCTTTGTGTGCTAATACATAATAAAGAGTTGACTATAACAACTTCAAAGTAAGGTATTACTATCTTTGAGCTCAGAGAATACAAGCTCTAATAATCAGGAATCACCGGAATGGAATTAGTTTTTTTTTTTTTTTTTTAAATCACACAACATGTTCTAAATAAATAATTATGAGGATGTGGTGATACATGCTGATGGAAATGAATGATGGTGTAATCTTTACAAAGAAATTTGACAATTTCTATCAACATTTTGTCTCTGCAATTTCAGTCGTGGAAAATTTCCTAAAGTTGGATTCACATGTGCATAAGGTGGTGAACATACATGCACAGTATTCACTGTGACACTGTTTGAAACAGCAAAAGATAGTCTGTAAATGATAAAGTAAACCACGGTACATTCACAGAACTGAATATTACATAGCTATAAAAAATAAAAAAGCTTTATATGTTTTCATATGGAAGATCTCCAGGGCAGGCTATTAACTGAAAAGAGAAAGGTATGGAAAAATGTAGACAATACACTGCCTTTTGTCTATGTAGGAAATATATATTCTTATTTCCAGCCCAAGAAACTAATGGTCAAAGGGTACAATTTCAGTTAAACAAATTCTGGAGATCTACTATATAGCATAGTATCTATAAGTAATATCACTATATTATATACTTAACATTTGCTAAGATATACAGATATTATGTTAAAAATTCTTGCCTAATAGTAATAATAATAATAACAGTAATAATAACAGTAATAATAATAGAAAATTTTGAGAGGTGATGGATATATCTATTGCCTTGATGGCAGTGATGGTTTCATGGTTGTAAACTTATCCCCAAATTTGTCAAGTTGTATATGTTAAATGTGTATAACTTTTTACATATTAATCACACTTCAATAAAGTGATTTAAATAAAAAATTTCTACCACAGGAAATCAGGTGAAGGGATAGGGCAAAATAGTGGTGGATAGAACTTCTCAATCTATACTTTATATTTAATGTTGATTTTTAAAATTAGTCCAAAAATTAAATAAAATTATTAAAGCAGTTCATAATTATTTTACAACTGATCTTTAGCATTGGAAAAATTAGTTTTATTGATTTATTCTACCTATCTCCTATTGGCCAAGCATTCTTATAGTATCTTATAATTACTATTGGTCATGGATTCTGTATGTGTTCTCTCTTCAATGACATGACACAGAACAATGTTGGTTTTGGTTAAAAAAATAGGTATGTATAACTTAAAAATATTTGGCAAATTATATTTGGAAAATTAAAGGACTAATAATGGTTGGTGGGATCATAAATTTTTTTTAACCTATCTGCAATTTAAATTTTCTACAATAAATTGGTATTTGGTTATAAGAAAACGTCACTTGAAATATTTGGGGACTCTGAGCAGTAACTATTTGGTGGTAATCATCTTTCCCCTAATATGTTAATTTTTACAGTATCCTGATCTGAATCATGAAATAGTGAAAATTAAGATGCAATTTGAGCTTTTAAACTGCAAATATGCAGAGCTCAAAAATCATAACTCTGGAAAAGTTCCAAAAATCACATTTACTAATACTTTCAGAAAAATTGCAGGTGACACAAATGTATTTAATATTAAGTTCCAAAATAGAAACAGGAAAAAATATTATATAATGATGTAATTAAGGATTAAATCTTTTTCAAGACCAAAATGGAAACAACCTTTTTTTGTGGTAAAGAGAAGCAATCTGGCTCATTCCTGTATACATCATGTTAATTCTGGAAAATTCCATAACATAAAAATATGTTAATATATTATCATAATGTTAATCTATTTTTAGTATGTATTTTTTATTTCTGGAACTAAATTCTGAAAAAAACTTACTATGTGGCTCTTTCCCATGAGGAACACTAAAAGGCTTAATGTACAATATCTTCACAAGCAGTTTTGCCAGAAGGTGTTGAGAGGTTTTCACATGGTCATTTCTCATGTTGGCCTTCAGTATACATCTCAGGGAAGACAAGGGGTGGAAATCCAGCCCTGAGCCATGATTCACTGAATAGAGCCTGGGATGGGGACTGAGTGGCTTGGAAGTGGGGGAATAACTTCTGAGGAGCCTTTCCAGACTGGTGACAGAAGAACTGGTGACAGAAAATGTACTTGGAGACAGGAGAGCACAGGAGGCAGGGAGAACTCAGAAGAAGAGAGGAAGAGGAGAAAGAGGAGACTCTGGAGGCCCTGCACTCGGATAATGCTTTCGGGAAACCTCCACCTGGGCTCTCTCAGGACCTCCCTCCAGGCCCCTAAACTCTGATTCTCAGGATATAAGGGCCTTTCTCCTCCTAAGGTGATGAAATAAATGGTACAGCCACATGGATCATGGCATGCCACACAGGATATCTACACTGATAAAAAAGAAACACGAAAATTGGCCATCACTTCGCTATGCCCACCAGCCAATCAGGAGGGAATATGTAAATTAGAAGGACAAAGATGGCGGCTGCTCAGCTGCTCCAAGTGCAGAGTGGCTGGACAGGACAGGACAGGACACCTGCTATGAGAGGGAGGGCAGGGGGCGGGGCGTGAAGGGATCTACAGAAGCGACACTCAGACCACAGTGAAGGCGAAGACTATAGACTCTCGCCAGAGTCTGGAGCAAAGACGAAGGTGAAGGCAGCAGATCCTGGGCAGAACCTGCAGTAAAGACTGCAGACTCTGGCTGAAGCGAAGGCCTGGGTCCCGGGTGCTGGAGGAAAACCGGTGCTGGAAGCCAATGGAAGGAAGGCCTATTTCGTGAATTGCAACAGGCCCCTAGTAAAAATTGTGTGTGTGTGTGTGTGTGTGTATGTGTGTGTGTACTTTTAGTTTTATAAGATCCGAGTGTCTGCATTGCTTAGGAGGCTCGCTGGGCAGTCCTACTCATCCGGTCCACAGACCAGCACGTGAAGGTGACTGTGTGGAGATTCCAGTGTGCTTCCATTTGGGGGGTCCCACATTGACGCCATGTGATTGAATTTTGAATGAAAAAGTTAAGAATTAACGCAACTATGTTGTGCTGCGCATATGAATTCACAACTTTGAGTAAGACAGTCACTACAATCTCAAGGTACTTGTTGAGGCAAGTGGCAATATTAAATTATATTTTGCTTTTTAATTTGAAGCTTATGACAGATTATGTAAGTCTGATCAATATCATCTCACCTATTTCAAATAGACATGATAAGTTTAAATGAAAGGCAGAAGGTCAGAACTCTTCATAAATGATGGAATATTCCACCTCATATGTTTTACAGTAACATCTTGGTTCTTACCATTTCAATTATTATCTATAATGAATCACGAGAGAATGAGCAAAGCAAGTAGTTTATGTGTGAATGTGCGGTTCTTTCAGAAATGAATAAAACTTTTGAAAGAAATGTCAAGATCTAAGCAATGTCATTTCTCTATTAAATCATTACAATGCAATACATGATGTAGTTGATTTGTGAGGCTTTGTACAGAATCCCGGGAGATGAAAGTGCTAACACATACTGGTAGAAAGCTTTCTGAGATTTATCATTAAGCACTATGGAAACAGCACCATTGGAAAGGTACCCAAGTGATTTTGATTTTGCTTTCTTCAAAGGTAGCTGTAGCCTATAGTCTCGGTGCTTCTGGAGAAGTGTGTCCCTCTCTGAGGAGCCCATGTGGCCCAGCAGCCAGACCTTGACATTGAGAGTGCAGCCTGCACTTAAAGGACACAGTCTGCATGAATGCATTTGATGACCTTGTGTATACATGTGTGTATGCACATGCTTTTCAGTATGTGCATTTGTTGGAATGCCGGAGGGGATGAGAAGGCTGGGCTAAGGCACGAGGAGGGAGTGGGGGCAGGAGGAGCAGGGGTAAGAGAAGAACAACGAGGAGAATGCATAGAGTTGGAGGTCGGTGGGGAGAGAGGTCTCAGGCCTTCTCATTTGCAGGAAGTACAGGACATTGCCTCCTTCTCAAAGCACGGCTGGGTTACTGCTTCCACACAAGGAGGGGCCGAGATCATTTCTGAAAAACCCCTCAGTGACCAGAAAGATTCAGAGCCCAGCCATATGAAGCTCCAGGTAGCAGGGGCTAGGACAGCTGCTTAGCATCCTGGTGCAGCTACTAAATGAATGGAGCAGGTGTCGGGCTATTTGCAGAAGAGCCTCAGCACCGTCTGGTCACCCAGGCTGAGCCATGAGCACCCCCCGGCTCTGCCCTTCACTGCACCTGGGAAGCTCAGCCTGGGTTAGGGATGGAGGGAAGGGTGTGCAGGGCTGGACTCCTGCTCACCACATCCCCACCCTCAGCCTCCAACCCTGAGCAGCAGTTGACCAGGCTGCACTGCTACCTGTTGACTAGGTTTTGCTAATATTCCTAATTTTGTTTAATT